TGTGCTATGCGCCTGCAGCTTGTTACTGCAGATATGTGGCAACTAGTGGGCCAGGGCCAAGGGCGTGGCCAGGGGCGGGGCGCCTGCTGCTATAGCGACTTATGCACACAGAGATACTTACAACTTTTTTGCCTCTGCTGCTGCTGCTGCAAGTGTGTGTGCCTGTGTGTGTGCGAGTGTGTGTGTGTTTTGTTTTCATTTTCATTTGTTGTTGCTGCTGTTTTTATATTTTTTGTTATTTTTTGTTGTACTTTGCTGCGGCTGCGGTTGACTCGCGATATTTATTATTGTTGCTGAAATTGCTGTGTGTCCTCAACGTTGGCTGCAGCCACTGCGCCTTATCCTTCGGCTCCTGCTGCTCCTCCTGCTGCTGCTGACGCATTTAAAGCTTTTGCGTCATATAAATAAAAAAACAACAAAGAAGAATATGTAAAAAAAAAATCAAGCGCAACATCCACCAAAAAAATAAAAAACCAACTAGCAAAGCGGAACAAGCAGCAGCAGCAGCAGCGGCAGCAGCAGCAAGAAAAAAGAAAACAAGAGCCAAGAAAAAGTGTTAACTGCGCTGCGCCGAACTTTCAATACTCTTGCTGGCATATTGTGGAAGTGACATATTGTTGTACACATACACAAGCATCAGACTTTTGTTAATATTTCGATTTCTGGCTTTTCGTTCCTACTAAAATCATTTGGTGAACTAAATGGTTCATTTTATTCACAAGTTCGCTCATGAACCAGGCAAAGTAGTTCATTTGCCTGCGATTGTTGAAGTTTTTTTTTTGTAAATTTTTCATTTATAATTTAATATATTATTGATAAGCTTTATTTATTAATCAAAATTCTGATTCCATATTAATTAACACTCTTCGACATTTATAAAATATATATTTTTAATAAAAACTATAAGTTCCCAATTCATATATAATACAATTATTATTTATTTTGCTTTTACAATTAGTATTAGAATGATTATTATTATAATTATTGGTATTATTATTATTATTATTAGTATTATTATTCATATTATTATTAGTATTTTTATTATTATTATTATTATTATTATAATTATTATCATTATTATTATTATTATTATTATTAGTATTCTTATATTATTATTATTATTATTATTATTATTATTATTATTATTATTATTGATAATTATTATCATTATTATCATTATTATTATTATTATTATTATTATTATTATTATTATTATTATTATTATTATTATTATTATTATTATTATTATTATTATTATTATTATTATTATTATTATTATTATTATTATTATTATTATTATTATTATTATTATTATTATTATTATTATTAATATTATTATTACTTATTATTATTATTATTATTATTATTATTATTATTATTATTATTATTATTATTATTATTATTATTATTATTATTATTATTATTATTATTATTATTATTATTATTATTATTATTATTATTATTATTATTAATATTATTATTACTTATTATTATTATTATTATTATTATTATTATTATTATTATTATTGATAATCATTATCATTATTATCATTATTATTATTATTATTATTATTATTATTATTGTTATTATTATTATTATTATTATTATTATTATTATTATTATTATTATTATTATTATTATTATTATTATTATTATTATTATTATTGTTATTATTTTTATTATTATTATTATTATTAGTATGATGATTATTATTATTATTATAATTATTATTTATAATTATTATCATTATTATTATTATTATTATTATTATTATTATTATTATAAATAATTAGTATTAGTATTATTATTATTATTATTATTATTATTATTACTTTCATATTATTATTAGTATTATTATTATTATTATAAATAATTAGTATTATTATTATTATTATTATTATTATTATTATTATTATTATTATTATTATTATTATTACTTTCATATTATTATTATTATTATTATTATTATTATTATTATTAATATTATTATTACTTATTAATATTATTATTACCTATTAATATGCTTAGTATTTTCATTATCATTATTATTATTATTTTCATTATAATTGAAGAAGAATTGATGAAGAATATAAATAAATATATGAATATACTCACATATATTTTTGCTTTATATACTCTACCTGCTTTCACATACCGCCTCTCATGCGATACACATTGCCTGGCTCGTGGCATATACCCGCTGGCAGGGCATGCACAAAGAGTATAAAGGGAAGCAGAAGACGAGAGGCAATGACGCCGGCGACAATGGCAGCAGCAACAACTCTGTCCTGCCGCAGCGCTTTTTGGCTTTAAGGCCAGACTCGGCAGCGTCTGATGATGCGCCCGATGCTTGATTTATTGAGGCGGCGACCCGTTCCCAGCCACGCCCACTGTCCAATGAGCTGGTGCAAAAATAAAGAAAAAACTTTGTTCGCTTTGGCTTTTGAATTTATTATGTTTTTTATTTGGCTTTCTCTTTCTTTTCGCAGTTTGCTTTGGTTTTTCTTTTTTTTTTCCCATTGTGTTTCTTAGTTTTTTGTTATCGATAGTTTTTAGGGGCTATATTATGTATGCAATTTCGTTAGCTATGTATCGTTATCGTTATCGTTATCGTTATCGTTATCGTTATGCATAGTTATCATAGTTATCATATATGATTTATATTTATATATATATATCAACTCTGCGGTACACAAAAAAAATTTCCCATTTATTTAGTAAGCTGGTCAATAACATTTTCTTCTTCTTGTTTTCTATAAGTATTAACAAAATTTAACTAACTATGCTCTAAAATGATTCAGCTGGTAGATTTGTGAGAAATCATAACGCTATATGTTTTTTTATTTCTTGCATATATCTGAAAATTTGTATAGAACTAGATAAATATATTAAATAATTAAATAAAATTAATATTGTAAATAATAAGATATATATTTTAAACAACTTAAAAATTGAATATAGTCAAAATATAATTAAAATAGTCGTTATTATTACAGCTTATGTTTTTCTAATATTCATATTGGGCTGTAACTATTTCCATTGACAACAGACTAAGCTATCGACTGCAGGCTTGCCAACGTCTTGTCCTACTTTCGAAGCCTCAACTAGTTGAGAATTCCAAGCGTTAAGCATGGAAAGATAGACAGAGCGAGGCGAGCCAGCGTCCACTTACGTTAGGTTTTATTCGGTAGCTTATAAGTGTGCTAGTGAAAGAGCCACGCCCTTGAACTAAATCGAATTGACAAACTCATGTGAATCGAACTAGAACTAGGTTCACGAACCTGTGTATTATTTTCTGTGTATCTCAAAATCATGTAAAAAACTTTAATGTAATATGTTAATATTAAAGTAATATTCATTATTTTTGAAAAGATACTTATGGCCTTTTTTTTTTTTTAGAAATTTGTCAACATCTTAGACTTGAATTATTTCGATTTAAAGCAGTGGGATAACAACTTCAAGTATTCAAATTGGGCATTCATTTTTTTGAGTTCCTGTCAAGTCTCAGACACTCGATTACTTGGGAACGGGGCAAGTTATCGAATATCGGAAACAAACTCGATCTGCGCGGGCACTAAGAACCAAAATTTCAAGTCTCTAGCTCTTATAGGCTCAGAGATCCATGCGTTCATACATACGGACGGACAGACGTGGAGACGGACAGACGGACATGGCTAGATCGACTCGGCTGTTGATGCTGATCAAGAATATATATATACTTTATGGGGTCGGAGATGCTTCCTTCTGCCTGTTACATGCATTTGCACAAATACATAATACCCCTTCTTTAGCCATTTTCAATGGGTATAACGGGTATACAAACAAAGTTAGCTTATTTTGTAAAGTTTATACCAAAGCGTATAAGAGGATTACGAGCGGAATACTAAATATGGGTTATATGGGGGTTATTGACCGCCAGATTGAATGCTCGATTTTTCACATCGTATTTAACATTCTGTATTTGTTCTAATATGCGTTTTATATTTTGCTTTTGTTTTCTTCGTGTAATTCGCGTTAGACACACAGTATTCGGGCTTAAATTAGTTAAACATATATGCGGGTATATATGTATGTATATATATATATATATCTCGTGTCGGTTGGGTATCAATTATGCTATTTTACATGATGTAGTTGCAACAATTGTTTATATAATTAAGTAAGTTTACATTTAGCAACGCTTCAAATTTCAGTTTATCGCTGCTGCTGCTTCTTCTTCTTGTTGCGTTCCTTCGGCTGCGGATAGTCTAGATGTCTTTTTAAGGTTACGTTTTGTTTTTTTCTTAATTTTTTTTGTTTTTTTTTTTGTTTTTTTTTTCTGATTTTTTAATGGGGCATATAAACATTTAACAGAAGCACAATTCATAATTGATGAGTTTTTCCTATTTGCTGCTGCTGCTGCTGCTGATTCTTCTTCTTCTTTTTTTTTACTTTTTTCCTTGATATGTACAGTCTGCAATTGTTGGAGCTCAGAGCGGGGTAATGCGGTGAGGGGGGGGGGGGGAGGGGGATCTGTTAGCTCTCGTTGAATGCAAATTGCAAAAGATGCGCTGTTTTTTTTTTTTTTTTTTCATTTTTCTTTTTGTATCACATTATTTATTAATATAGGTTTTAATATGCAGTATGTTTTTGTGTTAGTATTTATTTAGTATTTTCTTTAATGTATAGGTATTTTCTATGCATTTTATAAAATAGTACAAGTACAAATTTGCCACCTTAGTTTTTGGTTAGTTTCAGTTTGTTTGCTTTCTTTCTTTTTGCTTATGTTAAGATTAGCTATTTGTGTAGATACAAGATACAAGATACAAGATGCAAGATACAATTTCAGTGGCTTTAATTGACTAGACTTCTTCGTGTGTGTATTTGACTATTATATCTGTGTGTCTGTGTGTGTGTGTGTGCGTGTCTGCATAATTTTCGTCTAGGATAATTAAGATATTGTTATTTGCTGACTTTTTTTTTTTGGTTGTTTGCTTATTTTTTTATTGGTTTTATTGCTCTTTATTAATTGGCCAATAAAATGTATTTATTTATGTATTTATTTATTTAGTTATCAACTACAGACTAGGGCAAAAAAAAATGTTCCTCTATTATCTTCCCACGATAAAAAAACAAAAAAAACCACCTCGCTATTACGTACATTTATATATATAGTTTATGGTATAGATACATACATATGCTTAAATACGCTTTTAATTGTTCGGTTTCAATTTATTTATTTTACTTTTATTATGATTTTTGGGCAAATTTCTGGTTTCTCAGTTTGCCAATTTATGATTTACACATTAGATTCAAATTCGTTAGATACAATAATTTAGAGTCGTTCGCATTGATTGTGTGCAAAAGCCCACTTTATAACAAAAATCTCCCTAATTCCCGACCCGCCACTCGGTTGCCGGTTGCACACTCCGGACTCCGCACACTCCGTACTCCGTAGTCCGTACTCCGTAGTCCGTATTCCGGACTCCGGACGCCGCACTCCAGTTTTGCCAGCTCGCTGCCGGATTAGCCAGGAGCCTGGCATTTGCTGCATAAACATAAAATAAACATGGATAAAACAAACTCAGATAGAAAACTGCAGTGTTTTTGCATTTGACAAATTTGTGGCCATCCTATACCCTGCAAATGTCAACGCAACATGGGCTATATTGGGCCATGTGTGCACACAAGTCTATCTATAATTTATAATAATTTGGGGTCTTGCTTTAACTGAAAACATTTACGCATTTCGTATATTTTACTCAGTCAGACTTTGCTTGGTCCAAGCTGGGTATAAAAATGATGAAAATATTATATGTATAAGATAGGATAGGATAGGATAGGATTAGGATAGGATAGGATAGGATAGCATAGGATAGGATAGGATAGGATAGGATAGGATAGGATAGGATAGGATAGGATAGGATAGGATAGGATAGGATAGGATAGGATAGGATAGGATAGGATAGGATAGGATAGGATAGGATAGATCAGGATAGGATTAGGATAGGATAGGATAGGATAGGATACTATATAGGAAAGGAATAGGATAGGATGTGTTAGGATAGGATAGGATCGTATATGATAGAATAGGATAGGATAGGATACAATAAAATAGGACAGGATAAGGATAGGATGGGATACGATAGGATAGGATAGGATAGGATAGGATAGGATAGGATAGGATAGGATAGGATAGGATAGGATAGATAGTTAAACTGAAGATTAAATGAAAGAATTGCCCGAGTTTTGGATATAGTTACAAATGGCTGAGACATTCGTCTGGGACTTAAATGCGTCTTAAAAGAGGATATTTTGTAAACTAGAATCAACTTTAACTTAAAAATGTGATGGCATATATGTTTAAGTCTTAAATATTGACGAGTTTTGCCGCTTCGAAAAAAAGTTAATTCCATAAAAAATGTTGCCATATTGACTAAATAAATATAAATATGAATTACAAGCAGCAAAAAGCTTCATAAAGAATGTATAATTATTGAAACTCAAAGTCAAAAAACAATTCAATTTAATAAAGAAATTGCTTTTCATCAGATGAAAGAAGAAGCAGCAGCTAATTCGCAGATCAACTTTTAAAAGTTCTCAAAGCGCAGTCAAAGTTAAACCTATTTTATGGTTATCAGTTGTCAACATTATCTAACAGAACTAAGCCCAACATATCATATTATCATATTAGATAGTTCTGCCCAATAAATATTTTATTGTTTAAAGCCAAGAAGAGCGAACACATACAGAAACCATCCTTAAATAAGCTCATCTAATCGAACTTATAAGGGAATTTATAGATATGAAGAGCAAGCTTTGAGATCCTAGGAGCAAACATAGGGAATATAGGGGAAATACTGCTAAATGCTAAAACTGTGCTTCGCAGATAACTGAGATCTCAGCGGGAATAGAAGAAATGCAGCCACCGAATTTTGTATATTTCTACGTTCTTATCTTTCATGAAATACCTCAGATATGTTCAAAAGTCTTCATTGCAACTAACAATCAAATTGGTGATTTGCATAAAAAATACCGAAAGCAATATTGTTTAAAGAAAATACTAGATATGATGCAAATCTGGTTGGAACGGAACTGGTTCGCATGCAAAATTCCAACTATGAACTTAAGCAGCAGCCGATATTGATGGCACTTTATTTTCTGACAATATTTTAGGTATGACCTAAATCGATAACAGAATGTTTTCTAAATTCAACAAAAAGAACTAGTTTAAGTAAAAGTTAAATTAAAAACTGGTTCATGAACTGAAACATTGAACTGAATCAGCGGCAGTTGCAGCCCTGGCATTTTGCCTGGCATTTGGCGACAGCATACCAGCATACCCCAGACTTGGTTCAGGGCACGTGACTACAGGGTATCAGCACGTCGTGTCGAATCGTGTCGAGTCGCACGGGTTGTCTGTTTGTGCGTGCGTGTTTGTGAAAGAGTCTGTTAACAACAATAAAATGCTTCGTTGTCATAGCTCGGAATGTACATCGTCAAACAGATTGATGCGCCGGCGGGCAGTCGGACAGGGAGGTGGGGGCAGAGGGGGGAAGGGGGGGGGGGGAGAAAGCCAGGCCAGGAAGGCAGTCGAGACTAGAAAGGATATTCGAGTGCACTTGAATGCCTATGCGAGCACTCCACATGCCAACACACACACGCACACACACACACACACACACACACACACACACACATGTGTGTTGGCCAACTATATGAAGCTGTTGCCATGACATACCGCAGCTCCTCGAACCGCCCCTCGCCCTGATTTATGTGCTGTGTTGAACTGTGTCCTGTCCAACTCTGTCGCTCGATGGCAGAGAGTTTGGTTTGGGTTGGGCTCAAACGCAATCTGCTTGAATTGTGCGCTGTGTCTGTTTGCGGACACCAAACACTCGCGCGATTTGTTTGCACTTATTTTTGATTCGATTTTGCGTATAGACGATCGCTAAAGGACACTCGAACTTGGACTTCGAATCGGACTTCAAGTCCTGCGGACAGCGGACCTCAACTCTGCTTCGACTTGAACTTCTATTCAGGTTTCTTTATCAACTCGGAATCTTAACTCGTACTTGTGCTACAACTTCTTCCTCGAATCCTTATTCCAACGACAGTCTGTCGACCTTTGACTCGAACTCCGTCTCTTAGCTTAAAACTCTTTACTTAAGATCTTGGCTCATAATTGCCAAAGTCTTTCTACTATGGGGCAGACTCACGTCCTGCGACCTAAAGTTCTTCCTTGAACCCTTATTCCGACGACAGTCTCTCGACCTTTGACTCGAACTCCGTCTTAAACATTATTATCTGTGCTTCCATTTGGACTTCTGCCTGATGCCTTACCAGCACCTTGGTATTCAACTGGTATTCAAGCTTAACCGAGAGCTATCGATCTTCCATTCATGCTCGAGCTAAGACCTTAGCGACTTCAGCTAAAGGCTTTCACTTGGATGCGGTTTCTGATTCCTCCTTAGCTCCTTATCGACCAAGACTTAAAATGGCTGGAACTTTGCCTGCTCTCGGACTCCAGCTTATACCTAAGCGCTTCAAGCTTAACTTCGGAATTCAAGCTGACTTCGACGGTGTGCTAAGCTGTAATTCAACTGCAACAGCTCTATTTTAGTTAAGGTTTCAGCTGAAGGTCCTAGCTAGGGCTTAAATGAGTGCTTTGTTGGACTCGAAGGAATCTCCAAGGAATTGAATTATGGAGGCACAAACCCTCTGATCTTCGACTACCCAAACTAGGGCAGCTGCAACTGCGACTGAGGAATTTTCGTCTCCAACTTCTGTCACAACGAAGGTTGCGACCAAGCACTCTCGAGCTACGAGCTGAACATTAGTTGAATTGTCTTCCAACTGGAATTTCAATTAAGCGCACTTCGTCTTCAATTGTTTGCCCAACAAAGGTTGCGACTCTCAGCAGGCGAACAGCTTAAAAACTTTAACTGCAGCCCCGAGCCAGCCAAAGGATGCCCTTTGTGCTCAACTATGGACTTAAACTCCTGACTTCAATTAACAACCATCAGACATCGCTTCGGATATTAGCTAAGTACTCTCGGACTTTGACTCGCTCAGAGATTAGCTCACTGACTGACTGACTGACTGACTGACTGACTGACTGACTGACTGACTGACTGAGTGACTGACTGAGTGGGTGAGCGAGTGAGTGACAGGCGCGCACTTTAGCTGCTGTCGAGTGCTTGGCCCCGTCGTGCCTGACTCTCAGCTCATTTGCATGTGTCACATCAGCTTTGCTGACATCACAAAACAACACATGACAACACACGCACACACACACACACAGACACACGCACAGCCACGTGGCAAGTGTCGTGCCGCAGGTTGCGTGTGTGGCAAGAGCCTGAGGCAAGGCGCTGCCTCGCTGCCTCGCTGCCTGCAGCCCTTGGCATAGGCGATTTTTCAATTAGCTGCCTGCCGCTGGCGGCTACAAATTTGCTGGGCTTTGGCCAAGAGGCTGTGCGTGCGAGTGTGTGTGCGTGTGTGTGTGCGTGCGTGTGTGTGTGACAGCTGTTTTAGCCTTTAGCGCAAAGCCCACATAATTAAAATACTTAAAGGCTTTAAGCGCAGCAGCGGCAAACAAAGTTTTTCACTTTTTAAATTGTTGCAGGCCAGCCCAAAGGACGCACATGTCTAGAAATGTTTTATGTGCTGCCTGGGGGTAGGCCACTATTGTGCGTGTGTGTGTGCGTGTGTGTGCGCGTGTGTGAAACTCACATCCACATTTAAGCTCACTTAAGCAGTTTTGCGTGCTGGCTTCCTGCTCTGCGAACCCAACAAGTGCACAGTGGACAAAAAGCATAAAACAAAATTAAAAACTTGGCTTTTGCATAATATCGAATCTCGTTATCGATATGCAGGTGTCCATGTTATCGATGCATCGAGGAACGTTTAAAACGTTTTCAGCTTGCTTTTAACAGCTACAATTGGCCTTAAAATGGCCAAATCGGTCTGCAGACGTCTGCCATATCGAGCTTGTCTTAGTTGGCCCATTTTTGCATATTATCGATTTTTGTTATCGATATGCAGCTGTCCATGTTATCGATGCATTGAGAAACGTTTATCGGACACGCATCCCGACTGTCAACTTTTTGTGGCAGATAAGAGTCTAACGTAAACATCTGTGAATATATGTGTAACGCATCTGTATCAGTCGGGCAAATCCTCGGGCAAATCCTCGGGCAAATAGTCGGGCAAATCGTGCGTAGATTTGACAGACCTTGCGCACAAATTCTGACATTAGCTGAAGGCAATTCAAATAGCGAAGCTGCATTTGATAGCTGCCTCTTCTGACTGACTGATTGACTGATTGATTGATTGATTGATTGACAGACTGATTATCAATGCACAGCTGCATTTCGGATGGCAAATTGTTGGCGAACACACCTTCAATTTTCAGTTGCAGCAGCAAATGTTGAAAGGTGAAAATATTATGTGCCGGCATTTTTTGCCAGCCTTCGCCCCACTGTGCGAAGTCCTCCTGTGAAGTCCTCTGCAAATGTGGCGCCCTGTCGTTGTCAATTGCAATCT